CTGATGAAAAATGGATCGTTTGCAATAACATTAATCGAAAAAGGTTATGGTCCATGCGTGATGAATCAGCACAATCCATATCGAAAGCTGAATCGCATCAGAAAAAGATCATGCTGTCAATTGGGTGGGAGTGTAAAGGTGTTGTATATTTTGAGCTGCTTCCAAGCAACCAAACGATCAACTCAGATGTTTACTGCCAACGACTTATGAAATTGGAGGAAGCAATCAAAGTGAAAAGGCCGGAATTGGCAAATCGCGAAGGAACCGTGTTCCACCACGACAATGCGAGACCTCGTACATCTTTAGCAACACGTACAAAATACTGACAAATATCAGAAGTTTTATGAGCTCGGAATCATGAAGTTACCAGAAAGATGGCAAAAGGTCATCGAACAAAATGAAGAATATTTGTCCGATCGAAGTTCATTTTGTGTATAGAAAAAATTGAATTTTATTTTACATTGAAATACCGAAATTACTTTCCTGCCAATCCAATAGTTACCGATCGTCAACAACAATGAAAACGAGTCGCAAGTGAGTCGAACAATCGCGTCTCCTCTCCCCAAAATTGTCCATTTTTGTGTACAATCTGAGCGTCGATTAGGGAGAATTCGCTGCGCGTCGCAGTGTACAACGAAGAAATAATGGTACGCCGAGCGATTTCGACCGATGGAAACCGGAAGTGGGTGTGCTCGTGCACGAAGGTGGTCGAAAAATCTGCTGACACGAAAATAGAAAGCTTGGGGAGACGGCGGGAGTGCCTCCCGTGAAGGAACCCCCGTGTCTTCGTGACTTCCGGTTCTGGGTAGTCTGCGCGTGCTGACCGGATATGGCGGAGAACCGACTGACCAAATCGTGCCTCGAAGAGCCGCGCCGCGCCGTGTCCCTTGGAAGCTTTTTCTCATGCCGATCACGCGTTCTCCTGTACCAAATACCAACCTCGGTCCCGGTGACATCATACTCATCGTACACTCGTACCGCCTGTACCTGTACGTGGCGAACGCGGACACGCGTTCGTACCTGCCGCTACTGACGTGCTATTGTACCTTGTTGTCGAACCGCGCCGCTCTTCGGCAGGGATATGTCGTCATTAGTTTTCTGTCTCCTCGATCTATTTCGATTAATTCCAGCCGATCCGCGGCTAAGCTCTGGGCATAATTTCTCCTTAACTCGCGCTCAGATTGCGCACAAGAATGGACAATTTGGGAGGACGAGATACGATTATTCTACTATAATAATAATAATAATATAATAATATAATAATAACATAATAATAATATAATAATAATATACTATAAATACTGTAAATACTGTAAATACTGTAAATTCTGTCAATTCTGTAAATACTGTAAATACTGTAAATATTGTAAATACTAGAAATACTACAAATACTACAAATACTACAAATACTCCACTTCCCAAATTGTCCATTTTTGTGCTCGATCTGAGCGCAAAATTAGAGAAAAATAGCTATCCCTTGCGTTTCCTATTCGATCCTTCCCATCAAAATTGCATTAATAAATTCCCCTGCTTTCACAATAGATATAAATTAACCAAAACTTCCTCGACGAAGAGACATCGACCGAAATCGTTCCCAAAAGTATCACTGCATCGAAAAAGACCGAACATGGCTTATATTTCGATATTTAAAGAACATGCGGTCAGTTCAGCTGGATGAGTATGAGCAAGGGTGCATGGTGAGGAGATAAAAAGAAAATGGTGGATTTGTAAGCGGCACGTGAACCGGTCGCGGAGAAAGTCCACGGGGTTCGGTGGCTCGCCGTGGGCCAACGTTTTCTTCCGCCCCCCCCCCTCGCGCCGGCCATGTTATTCACGCCGACGATCCATCGACAGAGACGGAAAAAGAGGAAAAAAAAAGCCCATGGTGGACGAATTGATCGGTAAGCGGGACACGTATACCCCACGGTTGCATATATAAGACCGTAGAACCGCGTACTTACACGAGGAACCAGGGAGGCACGTACGCGCGGGCAACGTCCACGGCAACGTCCATCCGGTTCTGGATATTCGGATGCCTAATTTTGTTCTGCCGGAAAAATCAGTCGACGGAAGCAAACTGGCACACAGACGGTGGGTGACTCAGAGCGGGGCCTCGACGTCGGAGAGATGCCGCGAATTAATTTACTCGCGATACAGGCGGTTCGATCGAAAACTCGAGGATACGATTCGCTGGTCTTCTTTAATTAAATCGTCACGCCACTCGGCTTTTCGAGCAGGCCCGTCGAAGCCCACCCTCGCGTTCCGCGGGGGTTCGGCGCGCGCGACGGAAAAATTGGGGCAATTGTCGCGGCCCGGTCTTGTTTCAACGGAAATACGTATATTTAGCGCGGTACTGTTCGCGGGTATTGCCCGCGAAACGCTCGCGGGCCGATTGTCTAATAACGCGCCGACTAATTGTCCTGTAATACCAAGAGCATTGTTCGCCCTCTCCCCCCTGTCCTACCCCCGCGGGCGAAATAATAATACAGGCTGGTCAAGTGTCGGCCTATATGTCGCGGCGGAAACTCGGCCTCCCCTAAACGAGCGAGAAAAAAAATGAACGGAGGGCACATAACGAAGCAGAAATCCCGCCGCGAAGTAGGCCGTGCAAATGAGGTAGCCTCTGTGCGAACGGGAGAAAAAGTCAGCCGGCTGCTAATTGAAGAACAAACGGGTACAGTTCGGCGTCGGGATTCGTGCGAAAGAATTCGAGCGCGACAACAATGGTAAACATTCGCGAATGTCCGGAAGCAAATGATCGAAGAAGAAGAATGGCCCGATGAACAGATCCGGAGGAGCTTTTCCGCGTTGCCGAACGTATCGTTCGGAATTCCGTCTTCCCGAGGACGCACGTCGTGGCCAGTCGAACGTCGTCGGCCATTTGCCGCGGGCGCATTGATAATTTAAAAATGACAATTAACTTCAGTTGTGAGGCGACCGATAATCAGCCTCGCATGCCGGATTCTTGGCCAACCAGCCATTTTACAGGCGATTCATAATTGCACGACACCGCGATTTGCAAGCCCCCGGTGCAATTAACGCTTGGCCGATCGTGTTCGTTAAGCCTGCCGCTCTAATTCGAGCGGGCTACAACACGCGGATGACTCGGGACGATTAGAGAATTATCCGCGCGAGCTTCTGGACTCGATATATTCGATGTATCGTCTTCCTTCATTTATATTCAACGGTCCTTGTAATTATTATATATATATTATATATTATATAATATATTAATATATTATAATATATAATAATATATTAATTATAATAATATTATATAGTATATAATATATTATATATATATATATATATATATATTATTTCACCTTCGCGAAATTAACCCTATGCGATACTTTGACGAGCCTGGCACGTGATATGAATATTAAAAAAATAAATATGTATATATATAATATATAATTAATATATATATATTATATTATATTATATTATATATTAATATATATAATATATAATTAAATAAATAAATATGAATATTATTCCATTCTTTTAAGTCAAAATAAAATTCTGTCTCTTGTCGTTGATATTTAAGAAATCATGTAAACGCAGGCATACAATAAACATAAATTGTTTCTTTACTTCTTAAAAATGAGGAAAAACAACGTTGCAACTACGAGGAAAATTGTACGATAAGCGATTAATAAGCGTACCGGCGACCTCCAAAGCAATAAATAACTAATCGATGCGATAAACAGTTAATAAACATGTCCTAATCGTCAAGATTATTTAATTAATTTAGTACCATCGAAGGAAACGTTTCACCTGTCGGTTCCTCCGGATCGGCTACTTACTTCTTTCACGTAATCCTGATCGATCACTAATCACCAATTTCCGCCGACTGGCCGAAACTATTCACTGGACAAACTTTCGGATGAAGCGTTATCAGCGGCCGCGAGGATCGTTATCGCGTTGCCCACGATTTTTCGAAAGTTCGAAGCGAGCCGAACGGGCAATATCCATTAAGATAAAATCACGAATGACCGTCGATTTTAATGAGACCGTTCGCGGTGGTGCACGAGGAATCGAATCGTTCCCGATCGAGAATTCTTATCGGCGGACAATATCAGCCAGTCGACTGGCTGTGACTGATAACACCTGCCGATCGCCGGTTTTATCAGAAGCCTCGCGACGCCACGGAACGTCAATGGCACTTCCGGTCTCGCGGATGGACGGCCGGAGAACGACGGTCCTCGATCGTCGAAGACCACGAACCGTTTGCAAACCTCTGTCACGGAACGAAACGAAACGAAACGAAACGAAACACGCGGCTCGCTTTAAACCAGGAAATCGTTCTCGTCTTACAGGATGCCGGCGCGTCAATATTGACACTATTCTTACGAAACAGAACGAGGAGAGGCGAGGAACGAGAAGAGAACAATCGGACATTCGATCTTGCAAAACTTGGATCATAGGCTGTGGCTGTGTGAAACGTCTCCAAAAGCCCGAGACTCCGCCAAAAGTATTTTTAGAATCGCCGTGATTGTAAGATATAATATGCCTGAAACCCGCCATTTTGTCGGCTTCGATAGTCCGAAATGTTAACATTCGTTCGTAAATGTTAATGAACCGTCGCGTTACGGCTGAACGATAAACACAAGGATTCGTTTCAGAAAACTCGAATTTCTTACGCTTCGAAGATTTATATAATATTCTATCGATCTCGTTTTTTCTAGTTTTCCAATGCCTGGTATAAAGTTTAGGGCAATTTGGTGTCTGGTCCCTCCCATTTTCCACGTAATCGAACATCGGAAACAGGAAATCGATTTGGTCGCATAATGAACGACGTTGAACGACCACTAACGGCTATAGGCATTGTGGTGTAACTGGAATTACGAGAAATTGCTGGTTATCAAGGTGTAATCCTTATCTGGCATTGGAGCCGAATTTCAATCGATAAAACCGATAAAGTGAATCCCTCGTGAGCCGTGTGTAGTACACTCGTTCGAATTCGAGAATGGATATAACCGATGAAAACGAGCATCTAACTGTTTCAACTCTTTCTTTTATTTCTCACCCGTGGTTGCATATTCGATAACAATCTGTAAATTACAATAACATACGTATATGGTGTATAATAGAGAAACCTGAAACGCAATTAGGAACGTGTGGACATTAAAATAATATGTTAAACTCATAAAAACAACCAACACGGTGGGTGGGGGGGGGGGAGGGGAGAGTCAATCTTGATCGATTGATCACAAATTTACAATTGTATCAGGTTGATTAAATAAATCTTGTGGTTTCAGAGCAGTAGGTAACATAGTAACAAAATAATACAAATAACTAGAAGACGGTATAATTAATACATAATTAATCTGTGTTTAAACGCTTGACATAGCGAGCCGTTATTAAGTAGAACAATATTAAATTGTGCAACGAAGATACTTCACGAAAGGGAATAAATTACTAGACTATAGTTACAACTAAACCAGCAATACAAATATAAACGAAGATGTTCCATATTATAGAGACTGATCGAATTTGGAAATGAGACTTGTTAAACTCTAGTGTACAAAATTAAATTCTCTCGCCAGCGTAATAACTACGTTAAATACATCTCCCTTTTACGCGTGTAAAAGTGTTAATTTCTATGATTACTTCGGACTTACTTAGAGCTACAAAGTTGGCTATCGATATTGGCAAAAATGTCTTACTGTTAGACCTTTAAACGTGGTATATTTCAATAGATGCGTCAGCCGCTCTATCATTTAAAATATTCGTTTAAAACTTCGCGATGGCCTTCGTTGATATCACACGAGAACTAAGGACGTACAGAATTATTTAACAAAGCAGTGTGACTTGCACAACCGTGGACGAAGGTAACATTCAAAATAAATTCAGTTTCTTTAGACATTTAACAGCCATGAAAAAAAGATGGATTGAGAAAGATAAAGGAAACTGTCTTCGTATTCTAAAAGTCAACGAACGATACACTTCAAACTGTACAAAACCGTCGAAGGAATTAGATTTATACATATAAAAGAAAAAAAAACACGGATGTGCAACAACAAATACGAGTAACAACGAAATATTGCTGAACAATTAAATTAAGAATAATTTCCCGTAGTCAAGTAGACATTTGTGCTTTCGAAGTTTCTATCCTTTATCACGTTTTATCTAGTAAATAAAGAAAGAACAACGTTTCACAAACAATTCTACAATGTACAGATACAAAATAAAGGAGACGAACTTGCGGCGATACCGCGGTGACGATTAAAATGTTCAAAAATTGCTATCAATTAATACGCGTGGACCGTGTCATCCGCGATAATATTAAATTACTAATGCTTTAAAATTAAATGTAGCTGTAATCAGTCTAAGGCATACAATTGATATGCTAGCTCGTCGTAATTTTCTACAATAGGTAATTGTAATTAGTGAAGTGTCAATTCGATAAGGTATATATATATATATTATTCTTGCACTGTTTTCAGTGAAATCAGCGTCTTAAAAACTACATCTCGATAATGTTACTAGTAAAAAATTTTGTATAAATAGAATGACAACCGTTTCATTCATCAAATAGTTTCCTTTAATGCTGATCGATGTATCCTGCTAAACGCGGACATACGAAGTTAGCATATGGATATGTAATGTGGTATTCCTCTAAATCTTAAGCTTATAAATTGCATTGTTAGGTATATGTCTTTGAATCATATTGAGAACTATGCTAGTATACAGTGCCGTCATCGTTAGGCTTTCACTGACTATTTTTTTATGTAAACTGCTCTTAGTAAATGGAATTATTCATTCGATGTTTCGTTAAAATTGCCACGAAGTGTATGTCGCTGTCCATGGTGTGACAACGGTCCATTGTGGAAATTGAGCCAAGAATCGTTTAAATCTCAAAGACTTCTGATGCTCACCGTGCAGAAAATGGCCACCCAAAGCCACGGTCAAACATGGTACCTTTTGCGTATGGGGAACCTGTACAGATAAAAAGTTATTATGTAGAATCTTATAATTATTTTAACTAGTAGATCGTTCCTTAAACGTACATTTAACTCGACGGTAAACGTATAAGGAGTACAATCAGATGCACAAGAATAATAAACAAAATACGTTTCCCTGTCGTTCCATTTAGGTCCTTGCAACGGTTTTCCTTCTAAAATAGACCACCTTTCCAAACGAACACCTTTGTACGGCGATAAAATTATGCTTATGTGATCAGGGCCTACAAAATAAAATGTTCACGCAATTTTCAATATTTATTATGTTTGTTAAGAAATTACCTGTTACGTTGAACGTAAAAGTGACAATATTCTGTCGTATAGATTTTGAAACAAGGTCCAACCTTGTTGGAATATTGATGAGTGGTGCAGGCCCTGGTATCCAACTTGTTTTCCTATGGGAAAATTTTCGGCGTTAGATATGATTTAGTTCAATTATTGCAATAGATTTTCTCACCATAAGAAAGTTGTAACAGGCATGAAGTATGGTAGACCACAGTATAATTCGCGTTCACAATCTTTCACTGTTGGCGTTGCTGCACCAATCTCAGGCACCATAGCTTCGACGCTATGTGGACTGTTCATGTCTAAATCAGCTATCCAATACCCGGTTCCAGAATATCGCAAGTTACCGTTGACGTCGTAATATTGTCTTTGTGCATGCTACAAACATAATGCCCATTTGAGACACAGTGTCCGATCATTTTTAAGAGTTAGCTTGTGAATATGAAATCATTACCGCAATCATAAAACGTTCTGGTGCCAATGACGATGGATCACCACTGTAGGGAAAACCAAGTGGAGTTAAAATTAACACTCCAATAGTTAAAAAAAATATTCCAATCAATACGCTTAGAATCCGCTCTGCATTTTTAATCAAAAGTACTATTGGTAACTGAAAGAAAAATAGTTTATGTTAATAATCTACACTTTATTAATATTGTTTATAGTTTCATTAAGGCATCCATAATCTACCGTGAAACTAAGCTGCAGGCAAAAGAGTATAGATAATGTGTTAGCCATGACAACTTCAGAATTTATGCTGCTACCAGACCGTCCCATTATAGGAATAAATAGATAAAGAGCACCAATCAGTAAGTAAAATGATTGCATATAAGGTACAAATATTGTAGTTAAGTAATAGAAGAGCCACTTCCAGCCTAGAAGAAAGGGATTGCGAAATAGTCTCAGGTCAAACTGACAAAGTAGTTAGGAATAATAATTATACCTCTCCATTTATTAAAAAAATGATATCGTAGTAAATTTGCTACTGTCGAGAATACAACCCAATGTAAGGGTATGAAACCCGATCGTATCTCGAATAGAACGCAGCAGAACAGAACTAGCATCCATATAACAGAATATGCATCGCAGTATATTTGGAATAATGTCCATGCGGTCTTGACTTCCTATAATATATTAGTACATAATCAGGTAAGTGTTAATCAATGTATAATGGTGTTACTTGCCTTCTTTTGTCGCAGTCCAACATATAAGAAGAACATCATTGATACAAAGATGGTTGGACATACATACAAGAAGAACAGCCAAGCTGGTCTCACATACCAACTCATTACTTTACCAAGCTTGGTAAGAACAGTTGCAATCATTGTGCATGAAATTATAGATACCAGCCACGAAACAACTATTGCTCCAATACAAAGCAATATATGTTTGAAATATATAGTTTTCTTTACATCTGAATAAAAACAGATAAAAATTAATTCATGAAAAATTGAATATGAGTTTCACATAAAAGCAAATTTCACGCGTACCTCTCCGCGCGCATTGTGCATTTAGATATATAGAATATACTCCAGCAATTATGCTAATAACATTAATTGTACTAGACACGTGTTGTGGCCATCTAATAACAAATGCACCTAAGAAATCAAAGAACACAAGATTCCCAGGATTATCCTGGATCGCTTCGGATAAATTATTATCCATTACTATTCCTTGTAACAAAGCAAGAATATTATCCCCAGTCCTTTGCAAGGACCCCNTTAATATTGTTTATAGTTTCATTAAGGCATCCATAATCTACCGTGAAACTAAGCTGCAGGCAAAAGAGTATAGATAATGTGTTAGCCATGACAACTTCAGAATTTATGCTGCTACCAGACCGTCCCATTATAGGAATAAATAGATAAAGAGCACCAATCAGTAAGTAAAATGATTGCATATAAGGTACAAATATTGTAGTTAAGTAATAGAAGAGCCACTTCCAGCCTAGAAGAAAGGGATTGCGAAATAGTCTCAGGTCAAACTGACAAAGTAGTTAGGAATAATAATTATACCTCTCCATTTATTAAAAAAATGATATCGTAGTAAATTTGCTACTGTCGAGAATACAACCCAATGTAAGGGTATGAAACCCGATCGTATCTCGAATAGAACGCAGCAGAACAGAACTAGCATCCATATAACAGAATATGCATCGCAGTATATTTGGAATAATGTCCATGCGGTCTTGACTTCCTATAATATATTAGTACATAATCAGGTAAGTGTTAATCAATGTATAATGGTGTTACTTGCCTTCTTTTGTCGCAGTCCAACATATAAGAAGAACATCATTGATACAAAGATGGTTGGACATACATACAAGAAGAACAGCCAAGCTGGTCTCACATACCAACTCATTACTTTACCAAGCTTGGTAAGAACAGTTGCAATCATTGTGCATGAAATTATAGATACCAGCCACGAAACAACTATTGCTCCAATACAAAGCAATATATGTTTGAAATATATAGTTTTCTTTACATCTGAATAAAAACAGATAAAAATTAATTCATGAAAAATTGAATATGAGTTTCACATAAAAGCAAATTTCACGCGTACCTCTCCGCGCGCATTGTGCATTTAGATATATAGAATATACTCCAGCAATTATGCTAATAACATTAATTGTACTAGACACGTGTTGTGGCCATCTAATAACAAATGCACCTAAGAAATCAAAGAACACAAGATTCCCAGGATTATCCTGGATCGCTTCGGATAAATTATTATCCATTACTATTCCTTGTAACAAAGCAAGAATATTATCCCCAGTCCTTTGCAAGGACCCCATCGGTATCTGATCAATGTTGTCGAATTTCGTATGGTACACATAGCCATTGGTCGACCAAGCGAAATCCAGACCTACAATTTTAGAATTGTGTTAATCGAGTTTTTAATTATTTCGTAAAATGTAACAGTGAATTATTCAAGTGAGTATACCAGAAACATTTCCAAAATCCCTGAATATTCGGAAATCAGTGTCACCAGGTACAATACCACTTTCGAAAATTTCCTGAGCTAAGGACGAAGCGTACGGGTAGGGAACTGATTTTGAATACACCTGCAAGAAGAAAGGGACAGATCAGAAAATAGCTTGACAAATACAATTGTATAATTGAACAGTACTTGAAGCAACCAGGAGCTGTCAGGTCCAGCCTGAAATAATAATTCACGACCACCAGCTCCGCAGGCCTCTAAATTTACGAAAGCACGTATTTCCTTGGCCCAGGCATGTTGCGTTATAAAACCATGAGAAGCCTAGAAAATGCAAGTACACATTTATTTTTTAGCTGGAACATAAAAGATCAAAATATCGGAAAGTATTATACCTGCATTAAATTTTCTTCAGCGCCATTAAATAGAAATATAATATTATGTTTTAACAATTTTGAACTATGAGCAATTACTCGTAAAATTTCTAACATCACAGCACAACCAGCTCCATCGTCAGATCCTCCTGTAATGGAAAATAACATGATATACCGGTTTGCTTGATTGTGTTCAAAATATAAGTCGTTATTTTATTGTGTGAGTGCAGTAGTTCTGTTGGTACCAAATAATCTGAACAGAAAAACATTTTTAAATTTATTGTTCATGTATAAGAAAGAAAAGAAGAATTGTTTTCTATGTTGTATTTATCAAGACCATCAAAACTGTTGCACTCACCTAATAATTCTTACCAGGACTATCAGGGAAAGTATCAAAATGACAATTTACTAGCACACTGCTATGCGTAGGCCTATGGGGACCAATTTTAACAATGATATTTTGAACATTTTTATAAACATTTGTCATTCCATCGAGGAACTTTAAAGGGAAAGCTCCGCTATGTTTGGTTACATTAACTAGAACCTTATGATTTTCATTGGAATTTTTAACTATATTATTAATAATGTCTGTTAAATATTTAATTGCCAACACTTCATTCTCGTAGCTTCCAACAATTCGTGGGCCAATGGATGTAAGCTGTTCAAGATGATTATGTGCTCTCTCTGCTATAAACCTCTCAGGGTATAATCCTTCTTTGCTTATAGTTATCGGTTCTGGTAATTTCTTCTCAAATGCAATTATGACAATGGATACAAAAAGAAAAAATGTGAAAAGGAAAAGCAAATGCTGAGTTTCATTTGGCAGTACATCTTTTCTTTTCGAGGAAACTCTGTCCTCGTATAGAGCTTCTCCAGACGCTCTTTTTGAAGCATGCTGTCGAAACCTTATTCCGTCTCTCTGAAAATTAGTACTGTTAGTATATGAAAAGAACAAAAGGCATGACACAATAACCACACAACAATATCATTTACTTTACCATTGTTCAACAATGAAAATCACTTCAGAAACTGAGATAATACTCAAATATGAACGATAGCACAAACGATGTCATTCAGCTTCAACCGCCGCAACGGCATGTGTACTCCAATGTTTTGCAAAAATATAATTTACGACGTACTTGAAATCTCAGCTACGAATCAAACAAATCAACAACGTTGTTTTATTTTTTATCTATTAATCGTGCTTTCGATCGAGAGCGATAATCGTTATTGCGAAGATTTCGTACGATAATAAATCACTGCAGTTATCTGGTATTTATTTGATAAATAAAATATCCAAAATGTATTTGAAAAATCACTTTTTTCGGTTGTTTCTATTTCTCATTAATAAATATCATCTACACGTTCGCTGTTTCGACTGCTCCTTTACATAATTCCCAGTTGCTATCGCCAATCATTATTATCAATCGACTTTATCTTTAGGGCAATACATTTAGATACCATTACATACATTCATGTGGCACCGTGATTAGATATCTTGTTGCGTGGTGTACGGTGTACTAATGTATATCACATTTTTTTTAAACAATGATTTGTGTCCCACTCGTTTGCCAGATTCTCACTAACACGAATTTGCGACGCGCGTGAATTAGCTTGCGATGGATAGTTAGTTGAAATGGACTATGCGATTAACATGATTAGAAGAATTTAATCGAAATTTCATGTATCCGAAATATAATGAGAAAAGATAAGAATTATCTACCGTTCGTCGTCCATTGCAGATAAAAGCCATTTGTATAATCGGTATAGATACGTCAAATCAATCGATGGCATTGAATACAAAATTGATCATTAAATAGTATTAAATTATTGTCGAACAAATGCAAAATCATAAAGATATAAAAATCTGTATGGTATTTAAAATGCAAGATGAGTGAATTCTCAACGAAGACGCGTACAGGTCTTGATATTGATACAATTGAATTTCAAACGACTTCGAAAAAGCGAACACGAACGCGCAATTACAATCGTTTACTGCCATCTGTAGGTAAGCGTTTTAAAGAGGCATCAAAATATGCTGGTTCGACGATAAGGTTTTTTTTTTAATGGTAGGTGGCCGGGCTCCATAACTAGCAGACGACTGAGTCTAGCAGACGGCGCGTAGCTAGCGTCGTTCGCGGGCGGCCGAGATTGCGTTTTAAAATCGAACATTGTCGGACATTGAAAGGCACGGTTCCCGGAGGCCGACAGAGCTCTAGTGTATCTTAATTACTGTGAAAATCAATCGAAATGGATCCCGAAGCATTCCTGGACATGGCCAATCAGGTCATTAAATTGAAAATGTACCCGTACTTCGACATCGCACACAGCGTACTCTGTGCGCTACACGTCAGAGAGGATTTAGGACCCGGTAAGCGAAAGCCCACCCGACCAATTCTAAATTTAATCCGGTCACAGAGCTAGCTTATGCCTTTTCTAAGATTATGTTTCGCCCCCTAAAATTGTTCATTTCATTCTTTTCCACCCTGATTCATCGATTCCGCCTGTCCGCGATCTTTTTTTACTATCAAGACCATCCCCGATTTGATATTCTTGAATCGCTCGAGGTATAAAAATACTCGGCGTGCGCCTCCCTGCGATTATGAACTATCGGTAGAATTAATTCATTCCATTTGATGATTGGTAATATCCGATGTATTTTTATACGCGCCAAGCCGTTTACTATTTTTAAGTTGTTCTTTGGGAATCTACGGTTCGTCTTAATTTTAGCATCTTCACCGTGAAATGCACATTTTATAATCGCGGTAATTAAACACCGTATATTATATGTATATATATATATATATATATATGTTCTGGTGGCACATTTTTTAAAAATTCACGACCCCCGATCGAGTATCTACTACCATACGGTCTTTGGCACAATTTTAATAATCTTATTTTATAGCATTCACTGAATCTACCCAGCTAATCTATTTCAGTATACACCTTTGTGTGTAGGCCAGATTTTGTTCAAAATTTGGTCTAAGAGCTTCTCATGTTACCTTAGATATATATGTATGAATAATTTGTTTTCAAGTCTACTGAAAAACAAAGGGTTTGCAATGTGAAAGTGCATTAGAATGACTGCACAATGTACCAAGAAAGTTTCCTCTCANGTTGAAATGGACTATGCGATTAACATGATTAGAAGAATTTAATCGAAATTTCATGTATCCGAAATATAATGAGAAAAGATAAGAATTATCTACCGTTCGTCGTCCATTGCAGATAAAAGCCATTTGTATAATCGGTATAGATACGTCAAATCAATCGATGGCATTGAATACAAAATTGATCATTAAATAGTATTAAATTATTGTCGAACAAATGCAAAATCATAAAGATATAAAAATCTGTATGGTATTTAAAATGCAAGATGAGTGAATTCTCAACGAAGACGCGTACAGGTCTTGATATTGATACAATTGAATTTCAAACGACTTCGAAAAAGCGAACACGAACGCGCAATTACAATCGTTTACTGCCATCTGTAGGTAAGCGTTTTAAAGAGGCATCAAAATATGCTGGTTCGACGATAAGGTTTTTTTTTTAATGGTAGGTGGCCGGGCTCCATAACTAGCAGACGACTGAGTCTAGCAGACGGCGCGTAGCTAGCGTCGTTCGCGGGCGGCCGAGATTGCGTTTTAAAATCGAACATTGTCGGACATTGAAAGGCACGGTTCCCGGAGGCCGACAGAGCTCTAGTGTATCTTAATTACTGTGAAAATCAATCGAAATGGATCCCGAAGCATTCCTGGACATGGCCAATCAGGTCATTAAATTGAAAATGTACCCGTACTTCGACATCGCACACAGCGTACTCTGTGCGCTACACGTCAGAGAGGATTTAGGACCCGGTAAGCGAAAGCCCACCCGACCAATTCTAAATTTAATCCGGTCACAGAGCTAGCTTATGCCTTTTCTAAGATTATGTTTCGCCCCCTAAAATTGTTCATTTCATTCTTTTCCACCCTGATTCATCGATTCCGCCTGTCCGCGATCTTTTTTTACTATCAAGACCATCCCCGATTTGATATTCTTGAATCGCTCGAGGTATAAAAATACTCGGCGTGCGCCTCCCTGCGATTATGAACTATCGGTAGAATTAATTCATTCCATTTGATGATTGGTAATATCCGATGTATTTTTATACGCGCCAAGCCGTTTACTATTTTTAAGTTGTTCTTTGGGAATCTACGGTTCGTCTTAATTTTAGCATCTTCACCGTGAAATGCACATTTTATAATCGCGGTAATTAAACACCGTATATTATATGTATATATATATATATATATATATGTTCTGGTGGCACATTTTTTAAAAATTCACGACCCCCGATCGAGTATCTACTACCATACGGTCTTTGGCACAATTTTAATAATCTTATTTTATAGCATTCACTGAATCTACCCAGCTAATCTATTTCAGTATACACCTTTGTGTGTAGGCCAGATTTTGTTCAAAATTTGGTCTAAGAGCTTCTCATGTTACCTTAGATATATATGTATGAATAATTTGTTTTCAAGTCTACTGAAAAACAAAGGGTTTGCAATGTGAAAGTGCATTAGAATGACTGCACAATGTACCAAGAAAGTTTCCTCTCAATGACTTCCTTATGCAATGAACTGTGAAGGATAAATCTGTAAATAACCAGAATTGTTTCAATGCCTTCCTTGTTCTACACTGTACTATGTGTGAATGAAGATTTTACTTAGCTCAACTGGAAGTGAATAATTTGTTACATAGAAAAAATGAATTGGTCAATATTTTCTAATGTGACTGCATTTCTAATGTTTTAAAGGTACTATACTAGGAGAACATTAATTCTATGTTTGTGGTAACTTGGATCACATTTGTATCTATGCATGTGTGGGTGTATCATAGCATACTTATAAGGATTCTGAGTGACCTAGTTGAATTAGCACACCCCTTGATATTTCATGGTGTATCAAATGTTCAACAAATCACTTGGAAACATATTTGTTCTTTTTGTCATAGTATTTTTTTTTATAAATTATAATCACTTGAATTTTTACAAAGATCATTTTTGCTTTATGAAAATATTTGTTTAATTTCTGGAAAAAATAGGTGCCCAAGCATTCTCCAGAAAACATCCCCTATCATGCTGGCTTTCAACAATGTTGGTGACATTCGCAAGTGGTATGCTATGCAATGGACTCCTGGGGGAACCGATTCTTGCACCTTTGAAAAATACACCACAAGTTCTAGTTGCAACCATTGTTTGGTCAGTATTTAATTACTGCAGAACGAATGTTGGTTCAATTGATTTTTCATTCATTTATAGTTAAAGCGTACAAAATATATTTACAAATGAACTTATCAACATATTTAGGTATGTGATATTTTATACGCCATTTGATATTGGATACAAAGTAGCCAAATTTCTACCAGTAAAGCTTGTATGTGCAATTTTAAAAGAAACATATAGGTAAGTATGAAATACTATTTGTTATTCATTACTTCATTATCTGTAACTTATTCCTCTTATATTTTTCATCAATTTTAGGTGTAAGAAAGTATACGATGGAGTAACCCATGCAGGAAAACTTTATCCAAATGCATATCTCATTATGATTATAATTGGAACACTTAAAGGTAAGCTTTAATATTATAATAATTATATGCGAGAAAAACATAACAAAGACAGTAATATTTACTCACTTTGTTTATGTGTAGGCAATGCTGCAGGATTTACGAAATTATTTGAGCGTCTCATACGAGGTGTATGGACTCCAACTGCCATGGAACTAATGCAACCTAGCTTGTATGCACGTCCTCCTTTTTTCTGTAAATTATTCGGCAAATTAGTGTTAAAAAATTGAATAAGAAATAATTTGTTTCAGCCCTACGAAAGCTTCAATGGTTGCATCGATCATCTTTGTCCTAGATAAAAAGACTGATCTCATTTCTGCACCTCATGCATTGGTTTACTTTGGCATCGTTATCTTCTTTGTGTACTTCAAGGTAGACATTTATCTTACCATTTGAAGCTTTAATATTGTCTCTAATGGGATTAATGTTATTTTAGTTATCGTCCATTTTACTCGGTATCCACGATCCGTTTGTACCTTTCGAAAATTTGTTCTGCGCGCTGTTCCTTGGAGGAATTTGGGATTCGTTAGCCAAATTTCTGGGCCGAGGCCAAGCCAAAGACGAGAAAGCAGATGCCAAGAAAAAGGACTAAACGTTTGTACATTTTGTGCGTATACCCTTAAATAATACCATGGATGCACATTACGTAACTTCGTGTCGAAGCGAAGCGCATTACTCGTAGTACTCGTTGTAATTCGATTTTGTTTTGTCAATAGGTGCATAAACTCTCCAAAGAAATTCATTTTAACACTAGCAATAATTTGCTGACGAATCAATGAATGGAAACAATTTCAAAACCTAAAAGTACGACACTCGCATGTTGAAGCGTGACCACCGACAAATCATTAAATATCAGAAGTACAATAATTTATTATTATATATATTTTATTAAGGACGAGCGATGCATACAGCGGAGAGTGTGACTTCGATTACTGGGAAGATCAGCAGTATTATGTCTGTTAAACAAACAACTTGACGTTAAAATAACTGCAATTTAACCGTACGCTGTAATGAATCCGACGATTTTATAAAAAAAGAACGAAACGTAATTTTAATATTAATTATATTGATTAGTCGAAAAATGATTGTTCTTAGAAACAATAAGATATACGTGCAATCCGATGCGCGAGCATTAGAAATATGTCCCTAGTTACTGATTTTTTGATAATATATATATTACATATACCTCGTATAAAGTTATAGCGATCGAATTTAAAAATGTTATTGATACGGCGATTTTGTAGTGCAATACACAACTTTCCTTACAATCTAAATGCATATTAGGAATTATTAAGGCAAATTTGAAGTATCCTAACTTTGCCATACATCTTGTAGCGACGAAACCCCGAATCGTCGTGCTATCGTGCGGTAACTGTTTCGAAGGTACGAGTAAACATACTCAGGATGATAATGAAGTTATATAGTTTCGATGCATATTTCAGTGATAAGATTTCGATTATAAAATACTTGACAGAAAATTTAAAAATATGTAAAAAATACTCAAGGGGACTTACACCTCTTTTATACTATTTTATTATAATATCAAAGGTTGGGTACTTGCCACACGTGCAGGTATCAAAGTGTTTGCCTTCGACTCAATGATGTGAACATAATTTACTATGAAAATTAAATCCTTTAATTCTCATATGATGTTCCATTTGTTAGAATGTTGTACATTTTCATGTAATAAAATGAAGTTTGCTCTTCCATGCTTGTAGCCTGATGCACCATCCTTTTCGATTTACACAATAAACGAGAACATTCTTTAAAACAAAAGAAAAATCTTTTTATTAATATCTGATAGCATTAGTGATAAAGAGATAGAAGAATCAGGATTGAAGTTAAACTAATAGAATTCCCAGAATAATGTATTTCAATATGTTTATTAAACTCCATAAAGTTCAAAGGGTAACAAGGGCAATTTTGAGCAATTGAAGTGCAACTTCAGGTCAATCATTGTCAAAAGCACATCTTGAAATCAAGACGATCAACTAGTTGCTTCTCGCGAAAGTACATTTGCGTACCGGGTATGTGCATAATGGAATTTTAGAGTTGCGAATACAGTTAAATGCATCAACATTTGTTACGTCTGTCCAATCCTTATTAGAATTGCCCTTACAAGTATCATCACAACGGCTCATACACGATCGTTCATGATAATCACGATTAACTTGATGTTTAGATTCTTCTTTGTATGAAGGTACACAAACTGTATATGGCGCACAAGTAGATCTACCGCATGCTTCTATACGTTTATCAGTTAGTGTCTCCTTATCGGTCTTCTTTATTGTTTGAGCATCAGTACACTTTATCACTCTAACTAATATAGGATCTCGCTTCTGTGTACCAACGGTACTTCTTAGGTGTTTATCTGTTTCTATTTTATTTGAACAGACAGAATTATCCAAACCGTTCTGAATACCCATGTCGCAAGTTCGCAACAATGATCCATTAGTACCAATATCTTTGTACTCGCAACAGGTGCAAACTTCTTTGTCAGCAACCCGTTTCTTTATTTCTTTGAATCCAGATGTTCGATTGTTTCCATCTACCTGAACACCTGTAGATCGATTAATCGGCTTATAAGGATCTTCTCTAGTCATAGTTAATTTATTTACGCAGACGCTAGGTGTTGTTTCCGTGTCAGTCGAGGTCTGAATGCACTCGTCTTTGGAAAGATGCACTCCTAAAGCTGTGATTGCGTATTCTTTGATTCTCTTCACCATTTCAGTTGCATCGGTTGCACAACCAGTGCTGTATTTTCTCTGTTCATCTGAAATCAATGTTTTTCAGGTAAAGAAAAATGCAAGAAAAACAAGGTTAAATAACTTACAGTCGGTTTGAGACTTTATGCAACGCGACACACGATTTGTCTTGGAAGATATCTTGCATAGTAGTTGATGCAGTACTGTGGTCACTGTAGGATCTTTCATCAACTCGGACATGTTACGTGGACATGTGTCTGCATTGCACGGTTTGATATATAATTCAGCTGTTAGTGAAGAAAGGTATTTCAATATTTGTTGAGATTGTAGAATCATTAACTTACTTTCACCCACTGCAACTTCTTTATAATCTTTTTGTTGAATACAACGCTTTAACGATCCGTGGGATTTAGCACGCGATGGAAGTGCATATTCTCCACCAGTACCAACGCTCTTGTAACTTACAAGAGTTACAGAATCGCTGCTATGAATTCTATGAATAGACGATGTTGTTCCAACATCCTTCATTTTTTCCAAAGAAGAAGAGCGAGTCATGGTTTGAACTGAACTTTGCCTAATAGTTTGGATGGATGCACTGCATCTTCCTTCTTCTGGCATGCACACTGTGCACTGAGTCCCCCTTTCCTTATACGTTACTGTGCTAGTGTGCGCATTTTTCTTTAATTCAAGGGACAATTGCGTGCCTTTTGTACACAATTGTGGTTGCAAGCACTGGACCCCTTGAGTACATTGACAAACATTCTCCGTTCCTACTGTGTGCATTTCTAAACTTTTCTTGGAGTCTGGCAGAATGATTTTGAATCGAGTACAAGCTTCTATAGCACCACTTCCAAATGTAGTCTTCACTGTAGGATCAAGTTGCATTACTTGCGTCTGAAGAGACTCTGTAGTCTGCGTTTCCGTGTCTAATGTAGAGACTTTAGCTGGTGCTGATTTGGATAAATCCTTTATAAAATCTCCAGAATCATCTGTGTACGTTTCCGGATAAAATCCATCTAACAAAACAATGTCAACATTAAGGATCACACATCACACCTACATGTTCGTAGCATCATGTACCTTTAATGCATCCACTACATGGTGCATATTTCAAATCAGGTGATTCAATGCTATAATTGGCACAGGGAATAATAGTTCTTTGCTCCTGCGTTCGTTCCTGCTGCAGGTTTTCCCAGCCACACAGCGGACACTTCAGAAACGGTGGCTCATACTGTTTGATACTTGTTTTTGTCGAATTAGTGGCTGTTGAATTTATCGAGTTAGATGGAGTCCTGGGGCAATCTGTTAGAAAGTGGATACCGTATTATTCTACTAATACTACCGCTTTTTATGAAAATGTTTTACCTGGCACTTTCCAATTAAAGGCTCTCTTAGGTTTACGATTAGAAAGTCCGTCTCCATTTCGAGTCTTTGAAGCGATTCTTGCTTGAGGACAAAGAACATATTTTGTCCGCGTACTTGAACGGACTGCAGTGGTTTTGCTAGGTATGTACTTGATACTCGATCGAGCTGATCTGCTTCTTCTTGCGACTATATCGCAAGTTACGTTCGTACATGGTTGAATCCTCGTTTTATCTTCTTTTCTGTCAGTATGACGTATGTTATCGCTGCTTAAAGATTTCAAAACCGATGTGTCTGGAGGCACAGTCTTCGCAGGCACACTGTTCATTCTCTCCTCGTCACTGATCACTTTCATTAACATGTTTGCCACTATATTATACCATGGGATTGGCGATTTATATTGCTTATGCAATTGCAGTCCTTTAATCGTTCGCAACTGTTCCTTCTTATATCTGCATTGATACAAATAATTACTTTTAATTAAATTAAATAATTATACACACAGTAGATTATCAGCAAAGTGAAATTTGTGATTATTAATTAGTTAAGAAATGACTACGTTCAATCGTGTTCGTTTTTTACATTTGCAAACTAAGATCATCGGTCGTACATTACTTTTCTCTTATCAGCTTGATCTGTTGCAAATAGTCAGTTATAGTAAAGCCAGGAATACAGAGGTCGTCGATAATCCTCTGTAACGCTTCATTTTTTTCCTTGCAGTTGTAATAGCGTTTATCATAAGGATTCCAAAGGCACGGATGTTGCTTATATATTTTCAAGAATTTCATTATTAATTTCTCATTCCATTTGGACATTTTGTTGATCGTAGAGTTTTAATCGATCTTATTTTAAGCCGATGGTCCTACGAGAACATCAAATTCGATATTTTGCTCGTTTAGAATTTTTCATGTACTGTCATGATGGAGTTTTTAACGGTTAAAAAAACACGAGTGAACTTGATCGCAAAATGCATCGAACGCGAATGTTTGTCATATCACTCTACATAATTTTATTGAATCTTCCTTTCTATCGACGCTATATGTATGTTTATGGAAATATTTATAATGAAATTTTATGCTTTCCAGCGTTGAACAGTAAACAATTGTATTACTAATTAGATAAAATCGACTTTATACATTCTATTCGCAAAATCCGCAAGACGCGTCAGCTTGAATTTTGATCAAGGGTAAACCGCAAGTGCAAACCGCTTCGTTACGTATAACATTGCATTCGCTACAACTAGAATTATAACAAGCTGCATTAAAACTGTGAGAGATATATTTCATAGTGCCTAGACGCTCTTTCACAATCAAGTCCTGTATACGTCTCTCCAGGTTGATAGCAGCGTCTAAAAAATGAAATAATGTACAAATTTAATAAATTAAATGAATATATAAATTAATAAATTAAATGAATATATAAATTAATAAATTAAAATTCAATATTTTATTTACCGAAATTAATGTTTCGCAACTGACACGCGATACTTTTCCCGAACATGTCAAATTCGTCACAGAATGTTCTCCCTTTATATACTTCATCAATGCCCTCCTGAAAATATTTTTGTCTATTAATTTATCGTGATTCGATTTTACTAATGGTGACAGTTTCGTGCGTATTACCGAATTACTCTTAGCAAATAAATCATCAGTCGTACAGGTTTGACATGATCGGCATGTAGTTTTAAAAGAAGAAAGATCTGTTTGCATTTCATTGTCTGTAGTAATACAGTTCCTTGTATTACATCCAGTGCTAATCCTAGTTACTTGTGAATGCAAGTAATTTGTCCGTTTATCCCTTTCCACTTCTGTCCAATTTTTCCTGTGAAAATAAGTATATATTAAATAATTAATTAGGTGAGATTGATCTGAGATAATTGGAGGTACCTGAGACTTGTCCCAGGTAGTGTTCTATGAAATTCATTGCAGCCACAGTTCGCATAAGGACAATTGCAATGCCTTTGTGTTCTTTTTAATTCTACCATATTCGAATTTTTTAGTTGACCAGTTACTTCGCTATTGTGATAATCTGTAAGTGGACTTGTTTCCTCGCTGTGTGCCTGACAGAAAAAATTAATTACTACAAATAAATAATGTCTATAAATTGTGATTATAAAATTTGATTTTATTTACCTTCCAAGAGTCATTTCTGTAGCCGTAAGTTTTAACAAATGGGAAGAGTATTTCGTGTATTATTGGAAACCAAGTTACTTTTGGTTTATATGTTTTCTCGCAAGATATCGCTGCACTAATTTTGGATAATTCATAACAATACTGCGCCTTTATCTGTGTAATCCTTTTTATACAATCACAAACTGTTAAATACCTGTTAAACATGGACTCTGCAATATCTTTGTAAGCTTTATATCGGTTGAGTTTGCTTTTGAACTCAGGATGAAAAGGATTCCACAAGCATTCATGTCGACTATAAAGAATCACTAATTTTAAAGTATGACATTCTGTCCATGTAAATGACATGATATTTCTTCAATTATTTTTGCATGATCAGGTTATTTAACCCTCTTTAATCAACTACCAATTATCACATCATTACAGTTTTACAATTACATGTCTTGAAGTTGCATTAAATTCTATCGCAAAAATTTTCTTTTTAAAAGAATGCGATGAATAAATTGCGGTTGAATTCTTCATTATACATACAAATGTGTTTAAAACATTACTAAAATTTAAAAAAAATTAAACATTAAAAAAGTGAAAAGATACATGAAGTAAACTAAAAGTCCATTTACCTATTGACTTCCTTTCCATAAGTACGTGTTCAATTTAATCCAAGTAATTTATGCATCCAGTATTTATTAAATAGTTTTCACCAAAACTACCCGTTCAATATTACGAGAAATAAACAATATGCAAAGATCAAAAAATTTATTCGGCCATTTTTGTTGTTAAAAGCATTATTCTAATTATATATTATCATATACGCGACATGATTTTAAATTATTTGTGCATGATATAGTAAAATGAATTTTAATATTAAATTTGATCTAACAGGTTTTCCGTTACCGACTAGAACCAGCAATATATTTAAACAAAATTTAATGCTTTGAAGCTAGTGTTACATTTTTTGCACTACGAGGTATCTCATTTAATGAAAAATATTACTCTGTTTATTTAAAAAATATTCATGTACTAATTCTAGTGGCATTGTTGTAGCTTCAAAGCATCTAAGTTCATGGAAACATAATAAAATGTTCATGTATGTCCATGAATACCTACGTTCCATAGATTTACATTTTAAAACGATCTATGTGTGTAGAGTGAAAAATATTAATGTTTCGTCTATCGTACATCATTAACAAAAATATACATTCTGCCTTCATTACGTACAGGCTCATATGATTAACTATACTATTACTTATGTAACATTATATACAATGACGATTTTGTATATAACAAATATATATATATATTTTTTTTCTTCTGTAATTGTTTCTTGTTAAGTTTATCTTACTATGCTTACGTCTATATTATTTATGCTACTGACATGGCTTTATGAAACAGGTTCAACGGTTGAACATGTAGGTAGTTGCTGCGGTTCAAACGTTACAACTTCGTGATAAACGAGGTCTAAAAATGAAAATATTTTTTTAATAGCGTTTTTTATAGCGTTCCCAAAGTAAAGTAAAAATTATACCTTTCCATTTTTCAACTGGTAAGTCCATGTCCTCGAAACTTTGATCATATGCAAGCGACTCTGGTTCATCCAATGGATCCGCGTACTGAGCAAGATATGGGTGAGCTAAAGCTTGTTCGGCTGTGATTCGTTTCTCTGCGTCCAATTCCAGCATTAACTCAAGTAAATCTATGGCTGTAAATTAGAGCTCGTAGTAATCATCAGTATATGTTCTAATTTATAAAAATTGTAGACTTCTTTAATTAATACTTACCTAAAGGATTAGCCCCTCTGAAAACTTCTTTAAAGTTTTTCTTCTTCAAAGGTGGTAAACTCTGTATATAATTCTTTGCCTAAAACAATGTATGCAATTTCTACATAACTTACGTTGTTTCAAACATATACAAATAATACAATCATTTTCTAAAGCTATGAATATTATACATTATTTGTTATATCACACTCTTCGTACATTTTTAAATAATCTTATTCTTCATACAATATAAACTCAAAGCAAAATCATTTTGTTGTATGCAATTGATTTTATTTTCCTGATTGTATTAGTAACGATTGTCATAAGTGTGTAAAAAGACGTTTATCTTATAAACAAATTACCTCTTGGCTGCTAATTTTGCTTAAAGTTTCTTCTGTGGGTGTACCACAGAGTACTAAGACTCGTGTTAGATGATCAATGGCTGCTTAAAGTTAAGGTATGCTTGAAGCATAATTCATTATACAATGGGGAAGATTTGAATTAGTGTGGACTGTGTTAGAATTGCGCGTATTCAAAGCGGTAGTCTTCATTCCAAACGGGGATTGTAAGAAAGAATAGAACACATGGAGAAAGTGATATATATATACTCACAGGATACATTTTCTAAAGACAATGTTGGTTTTATTTGCATTTTGTCAAGCTCAATAATCGAGAAATCATTCAAATATTATCCATTTCGATATCGTAAAGAAATGCATGCGAGGCATTTAAGCCGTAACACAGTATAAATTAATAACATGCTCTATCGAAGTAGTATATGGACTACTATTCAACAATTTAGGTATTACTCACCGACTCGGATGAAATTTTTTGCATGAACTCGTCTCGTGGAGTACCCAAAATTTCCATTATTAAGTTCAGTTGATGTATATCTGCTCTTGCTAAGGTTCCACCACACCTTTTTCTACTTTCACTAAATTTTTAGTTATTAAATAACATTACAGATAATGTGACTGTGCGCATTGAAGCACATTAATAAGTTACACACATATATGTTCCTTCCTTTTTAACAAATAGGTTGCTTTTGCCAGTGAAAAATTCGAAGCTAGACAAAAGCAAAAAGTGCCAGAAGGCAAATAAGAAAGACAGTATTAATGTATTAGAACCGAAAAATGTTAAAGCAAAATAAAAGCCATATGTAGAGCCTTAGCAATAAGCATTTTCTTTTTTTAATCCTATGATAGATACAAATTTATAGCACTTATTTCACAGTTAGAAGATGAAGTTGGATAGTGGACGTGTTAGTATAACATGATTATATAGAAAGCACAGATAGAGGCTGATTATTTGGAGCAAGTACTTATGGAGCTTAAAAGGATACGATCTGTACCAGGAAATAATGTTCTTCCTGTTAATAATTCGGCCATTATACATCCGACTGACCATATGTCAACTAAAAAAGAAAATAGATTGAAATTAAATAATATTTGTAGGCAACAGAAAATAGTAATTACCTGTTTGATTGTAATGCATCCAATTAAGCATGATTTCTGGAGCCCTGTACCATCTTGTGGCAACATACCCAGTCATTTCATTCTCAGTGGGCCTGGCTAATCCAAAATCTAAAATCTTTAGTTCACAATCCTCATTTACAGCTATGTTGGAAGGCTTCAAATCCTGTATATTACAAATATTGTAGTTCAAATTCTCCTCAGTGTTTATAATAGTTTTAACAGCCATTATACTTTACCCTATGTATTATACCCGCAGAATGTATGTATTTAAGACCTCGAAGGATTTGATATACAAGAAACTGTACATGGTCATCAGAAAGCTTTTGGGTCCTTACAATGTTATTGAGATCTGCACCCATTAGATGCGTAACTAAATATCTATTAAAAATATATGATTATTACTAACACTTGGTGTGTGTGTGTGAACAGAGTTTTAAACCTCCTTGTTCATTGAAATGATTGCATTGATAAAACTTCAGAAATACATACACCTGCTGAAAGTCTTCCAAAGAGGAAGATGGATGAAATACATCTAATAGACCAATTACCTGTAACAAATATTAATCATATCATTTATGAAGCAAAATGTATTTAACAGTGTAATACAATTTGACTTTAATATTCAATAATATTTTTCATAGTCCTGTAATTCAGTGAGTAAAAATAAAGCTCAGTAAGCAATAGCAGCATAAATCTTCTTAATTTTAGGTGCCAAGACAAAATTTCTAAATGTCTAATTCCCACAGTGCCAACTGCAAGAATGCATTATAGATGCATTTGTATATATGTAGACCAGACTTCTTTACTCACATTTTCATGATTCATGTGTTTCAACATCCTAAGCTCTCTATATGTTCGCTTAGCATGTACAGCTGACTGGAATGGTCTGGCTAACTTTTTGATCGCTACCTTGTGTCCAGTTGTTATATCAACTGCTGAACTGAAACAACACATATACATTTTATGACTAACTACTTAGTCATATGTTAGAAAATAGTTTAACAATCCTGTGTGTGTGTATGTGTGTCTGTCTATCCATTGTTAAATCTTTCATTATCTCGCTGAAAACACATCGTCATTAAACAAATAGTTTCTAACAGATTTATATTAGCAAAATATCATTGTCAAATACTCTAATTTTAGTTCTCGCGATGTGTATACATGTATATATAAAATGCTAGACCGTTTTATGCATTCGAACGACTTCCCACGACGATACCTTACAATTTAACGTTAGAAAGAACATTTAAAAATACGGAAACGTAAAAACTAACTATCATGAGAAATCGAACGGATTTCTAAAAATGTAAACGATAGAAATGCCAGAAATGTCAAGGTTATGATCAGTTCATGGTCAGGATAAAATGCTGGGTTACTTGTGGGGTAGAAAGCGTGACTCTTCAGAAACGCAATTGTGACGTATTTAATTATTGTCTAGCTTACCACACTTGACCGTAAGCCCCCGATCCCACTGGAGTTAGCATTTGATATCGTTCCGGAACCTCCCACTCCGTCCTATTTATTTCAATTTTATGAAACTGCGGCATGCTGTACACGAAATTCTTTCACTCGATCAACAGAAGAATCCACGCGAATACGTTTGAATCAACAACCACTATGCACTAACGTTTCGGACCACGATTTACAGACACTTCGAACATTTCCAAATTAGCCTACTATTAAAAACCACACGTCCATCGTGTGTAACAGTGTAGTCGACTATGACAATCGATATCGCACTGTTTTTTCATCAACGACTAATCGACTTCTGTTCGTCGATTTATTTAAACCATCGCATACATATACACAAGACACACATACATATAGAACTCTATTGTACATGTACAAACCTTTGTTCCACCAATAACTTTTGTCTAATTCATATCGAGCTCAGCAATTCTCAACTTGCGATGAATGAAACCTGTATTTGACGACATTTTTAGTCAGTCTTTTGGGCAGATTTGATTTATAGTCAAATAAAAAAATTACAATTCACATTAAACGTAGTAACCAGTATGTATAATAGGCAATTTGCAACTAGAACAAATATAATAAGAGTAGTAAGTAAGTTGAATACACATATAATAGTAGCTTCGAATTGTTTAAAATTTTTTACTGTTTTACATTCGATCCATTCGTTCTTTCAATAAATGTATAAAATCCGCAATCTAGTAACAACATTTGTCCTCGAACTTGTTCTTACTCCAAACCTGTAATTTCTCACACTTGCATAATTTCAATTCGAATAAAATTCTAGAATAATCCTTGGTGAATTTTGAATGACTTCAACGATATCACAAGCGATTTCAATATATCGATAGTGTAACTTCGATAATACGAGGGACACATGTCGAGCTTGTTGTTTTTTTGTTTTTTTTTGTTCTGTGCGTTCAGTGATACGTGTAAGCATGTGTGTAAGTATGACGGCAGCGCCGTTCAACAGTGAATCATTAGCCAATCAGATCAAAGAAATGTCTGTACCTTGCCCACATTTAGCTACGGCCTACGACCGTTCATGAATGTAGGAACTGTACATATGTAACAATAAAAGTCAACTTCACGCGGCAGAAGTTTCTTTAACCGGTACAATAGGTCTGGCCCATGATTGGTCGGGTAGCCACGAGGGAGGGGTGCGCGCGCATCGATCAGAAGCCGCGTGTAGAAACAGTCGTTACGACGATGCCAACGATACAACAAGCGTATCGAAACGTTATTACGTTGTTAGAGCTGCGCCGAAAAGAAATCTTCATTATTGAATTTTGATTGTTCTTACTATCCGAAAATCAACGGATAACCTAAGGCGTTATTGGTCACGACCGCCATAGTGACGCACGCGTATCGCGTATCTTATATCGCGCCGCACAGATTCGTTTTGGCGGTTTACCAGTTGCACGCGGCATACGGAGGGTAGTGAACAGAGAAAGGACGCGCGCGCTAGAAAGAGAGGACAGAGATTAGGTGGTGTACAGTTGTAGTAACGTTGATTTTGTAAGGTGACCGGCAAGCTGCGCGGTGAAGTGAGAAACTTAACATGGAATTGCACACGCCGAAGCGTGAGTCGCGCCCTTTGACGGAAGCGTTGCCGTGCAGCCCGCCGATGTGCGATACCATGCTTTATCCATGGAATTGGGGCGAAGAGGCGAGGAATGTGAACCTGAGTCCGGGCAGCTCATGCTCCTCGCCAGAATATCGTGATCATAACGTGGTAACCGCGCGAACTGACCCACGGTCACGTTCCGGAGGTTCAGAGAGCCATCGTCGCGGCCGACCTCGAGCAGATGCCCTCTCCAATCTGATGATGCAAGGGAGCACGTCGCCGAGCAGTATAAAATGCACCTACTGCAACCGAGTCTTTCCACGGGAGAAAAGCCTCCAAGCACACCTGCGTACTCACACAGGTATGCTTCGGCTCTGCCGCATTTACGGACTTATCACGACTTCTCTCTGCCCCACCGAACTACACGCGTTGTTTCGTTCAAACTTTCTGTGAGGAAAATCCATATAACGTCTGTACAACAATGTGTACAGCTGTACGATTGCAGCTAGACTCGCGCAGAATGGCAAGCTTCATGCACTCTCACGCGTCCCGCCAATCGCCATCATGCGTGCTTTAAATAGTTAAATGGCTTGCTTGCGAAAATTACGAATAACCTGAATGAAGCCGCGCTACGTGTTTTTGTTTGTTAATGCACGTCGTTATGGAAAGATTATTTCTTCAAGTTCGGCGTATTGTTTCTTTGTTTAAATATTGATTCGACGCAGTCTTTGTCCGAAGCGAACGATACGATGCACAAAGCGTTTTTTCAAATTGTCGAGTGCTTCGTAGATAAAATTAATTATAAATAATTCTTTTTAATTTATTTTTACGATTGTCTGGAAAGTGTAATTTTGAAGAAGTGCTTCTGGCGATTTTTAATTTTTTTTAAACGTGATATCATTTCAAAAATTATTTTTTTTTCTTCAGGTGAACGACCATATCCATGTGATTATCCAGGATGCACGAAAGCTTTCACCCAATCTGGACAATTAAAAACTCATCAAAGATTACACACAGGGGAAAAGCCATTTCTGTGTACAGAACCTGGCTGTGAAATGAGATTTACACATGCGAATAGGCATTGTCCAGATCATCCTTATGCTACTTTGACTCGTTCAGATGATTTTGTTTTAAAGCCAGTATCCGAAAACACAGACTTACCTCATGATGTTACAAAGTGGCTAGAACGTTACAAGATGTCTAGAGAGAGAGAGGATAGAACACCTACGGGTAAAAATGACCGCAAAAAGAAAACATGGAAAAGTAGTTCAGAAAATCATAAAAGGGTGAAGTCTAGAAAGGGCCTAATGATGGATGCGACAGGTGAACAGGAGAACTTAGATTGTAAGGCCTCCAATCAAAGATTATATTGTGGGGAAAGTCAAGATAGTCAGGAGGATAGCCAGGATGAAGACCCAACAGAAACATGTAATATACTACAAACATCAGAAGACGAGGAAATATCTACTAAGTTGCCAATTACCCCATTAAGAAGACCCCTAGACAGACTTCAACCAAAGAAAAGGTGGCTACGCGAAGCTTGTCTAGAACAACAGTTAGCTAAACCTTTAAACTGGGACAATAGACCTGTTAGTGTATCTGTAACTACTTCATTCAAAGTTAACAATACTCAGATACATTGGAACACACCAACTGATAACTTGTCTAACATTTCCGACGCGTCGTGCTTAGACGCATGTAAGGAGATCGAACTTACAAAATCAGAATCGGATCCTACCTATATAAATTCTCATGTAGGATCATCTTGGGATATAATTAACGGTAATAATGAATCTCTGAAAAAATCTATAAAAGAAGAACATATTTATGCATTTGATTCACCGTCTACATTATCACAATCTATTTGGAATTCTCAAAGTAACAACAATGATTTTTTAAACAATACACACCAAATGAAAAGCAATATTAGCCAGCCTCTTTCTAAATATGAATGGGATAACGAGGTAATCAAGGAGAACTCTAAATCCTTGTCGAATCAAGCACATATAAAAACCACAAGTCTTGCACAAAAGGAGGTAACTAAGCAAGATACATTTTTGCAATCTCACATTAGCGAGAATATAATGAGACCAACTGTTTTAATGCTAGCTGGTAGTTCTAACAATAACAACAACAATAATAAAGATAATACATCGAAAATAATTCCAGTCGAGTTTGAGACAGCAAAAGCTGTTGTTAAACATGAAAAGAACCTTACCACGTTACCAATTCCTGAAGACAGTCAAAAATGGTTGGGTGCATTAGCTTTGATGGAATTAGCTAAAAATCAGGAAAAGACAAGAGATATAAGTCTAAAGCAGGATAAAGACAATTGCACTGAG